GCCTGGCGGACACCGCACCGAGAGGAGCGCCCCCATTAAATGAAGCGTCGGCCCGCCGTGCTGCGCTCTCCAAACATGGCTCCGCAGTTCACGCATTCGTTCGTTGGGGTGAGAAGGGATGCGACGTCACTGAGCTCGCGATTGCAACGCATGAGGCATGAGCGCCTTGAGCGCGCTGAAACACGCGCTAGAATGTGCCCCCAAGCCTTCCTCGCAACTACATGTCGCCGGGGAGTCGGGTTCCATCGTCGTCGGCGCATATCCACGGTCTCACACTTTCACTGTGGAATATATGATAAGACTGCTTCCTCCTTTGCCACATCTGCCGCCGCTGCCGGCGCTGCCCGGCGCAGGAGGCCCGGGGGTGGGACGGCGCGGGCCCTGCGGGCCTCCCGGGGCCCCTTCCTCCGCGGGCATCCTGGAAGTTGGGCTCGACGAAATTACCAGGCTGGATGTCTAAGTCACCTGAATTATGAATGATCATTTCCGTGCGACAAGCTTTCTCGAGGTCCTGGATGGCTCGACTGGCCCAAGGATTACGCAGCGGGTGGAGCGCGCTGTCGTCGCAAAACGCCGGCTCGCCTTCAAGCGCAAGCTGACCGAATAGGGCCGCGCACAAACTGCTGGCGTCGCAAGGGGGGGCCCACGCCAGCCGTCGCAGTTTCTTCCACGCGTAAAAATAAAATTCGCCACTGACGGAAGGACCACATCACTGGTCAGACTCAGAATAATTCCGTCCGTCTGGCACACGGGCGCTTTGCCCCTCACGGCCCTGCGACGGAGACCCGCCACCTCCCTGGGAAATGCCCGATATTCCGCTACACGTGGTAAAAAGTTCTCAATGCAGCTGAGCCCGGCATTAACCACCTTGCATGGCGGCACCGAGCGCTTCAGTTCGAAGGACACCCCCGCCCTGCACCAAGATCCCCCCATCTCCCTGCACGCCCGAACCATAACACGCACGCGCCGTGGCAGCTCCGTTCCATGCGCGCGCAGCGAATACAGCGTTCACGCGCGGTTCTAAATAACGAGCCGATTGCACCGCGAGCCCAGGAAGTGCACCCTGCCCTGCGCGCAACTGTCGATACTGCGCTGTCGCGCCCCGCCCATGCAGTCTGATCAAAGCTTCGTGCCCACTGCGGCTCTGAGCCAGGCCGCCTCTAAGGCCTCTCGTCGAGCATGTCATCTGCCGCTCGCTCCTGCTGCGACAGGCCCGCTGCTGCCTGGCCAGACGCACCGCTCGACATCTTCTGTGGGTCATCGGCACAGTGCATAGGCCCAAATACTGTGGGTGGCCGAAGAATGGGCAGCGCGCCTTGGACACATGGCCCTCTGGCAATCGCTCGACACACGCTGACTTCCATGGCTCCACGGGGGGCGAAAATGGCAACCCAATTGTTCGCCATAACTGCATCCAGACGACGCCCCCGCGTCCAGCTCGAATCATCGTCGGTTCCGCCCTATCCATGCGGGGCGCCGTTAATGCGCGCTGTCTGCACCTCTGCCCCCCCCCCCGCCCCTGATAGCCCCCGCGACAGCAAAGCGCGCGTCGCCGCGCCCATTCCCCGTCAACTTCCACTCGCAAGCGCATTCATCACATCCTTCAACACCATAGCGTGCGACGCCCCTGCCCTGGACAACCTGCCACCGGTACTCAAGCTGGCCAATACGGACCCCTCCTCCTCCGCTTCTTCGCGAGACCGCAACACGACCCCCCCTGCAGAGTTGCGCGGAGGCGTTCTCGTTGGGCGGCGCAATAGCGTTTGCCAGACGATTCCAGGACGCGGTAGACTTGTTTGCCCATGGGGCCACTTGTTTCGTTCTTCCTGACTGCCGCAGCCTCGCTGATATACCGGGATACTGGGATCTTCCTCTGAATTGTGAAATGACGGAATGCGCGTTCCAGTTGCGCCCTGAAGCCACTGGGGAACGCCGCGCCGCCCCCGCCCAGTCCTGGACCTCTGGGGGCCTGGCGAGCACCACGCGCCAAGCCACAGCTGGAGCGCGCCGGGGCCCCGCGCGCCGCAACTTGCGAGGCACCCTTTTCATGTCACTATTGGCCTCGTCGATAACCGAATTGAGGATAGAGTGATCTAGCGAGTAGTGGGCGGCCCACGATTCCCCCAGCGACTCGGGCGGCGGGGCGCGCCGCCATCCCCCCCTGCCCCAAGTGCGCCCCAGAACTCCTCCCACGCGCTCCTGGTAGGCATAGCGCCAATCACACTGCGCTAGCTACGTCGTCGGGGCCCCAGCTGTGGACCCGCCAAGAGTCTGCCAAGCCGCCCCACTTTTGCGGAAACACCTGCGTCGCCAAGCCCCCCACAACTCATCAAGTGCCCCCTCTCCTATATTACGCTGCGCCCCCCTCATCCTCGCACGCTTCTTGGCCAGAGTCTTCAGCCGAGCCCCCGCCTTCAGCACGCGTTGCTCTGCGCCCCCTCCCCGTCGTTCCCCTATGTCCCTGCGCTCGGCGAGGAACTCGAGGTCATTCCTGCTCGAGTCGGTGGTGGGTGGCGTCCCTGACCGCCCTCCCACTGAAGTGTTGCTCTGCTACGCAACTGGCCATGTCCGACAGTGCCCCGATCGTCGCACTACTGCCACCAATGCTCCTGAGCCCCTCTAGTTCCCCCCCCCCCCCCCATTCGGAACCACCTCCTCCTCCACCTCCAGGACAAAGTCCGCTCTGCCCTAATTTCCACGCACCCCTTCCCCCAACGCATGCCCCCCCCCCATCTCGGTCATTTTTGCTGCGCGGCGTGGCCGCACATGCGCGGCATAGCTGTGGCAACGTGGGCGGGCATGCGGTCGCGGAGCCTCCTGCTTCGAAGAATCTGCGGATGTCGTCCCACGCGGCTGAGTAGTCCCATTGCCCGCGTCTATTCCCGCCCTGCGGCAGTAGGACATTGTCGATCTGCGACGCGCGGGTTCCCGCGAAGACCGTGGGGCGCCATCTGCCGCGGGAGGCTACTGCGCAGAGTTGGCGTCGTTCGCCCAGCTCGCGGGCCCCGATGGCCCGCTCCTCAAGGGAGGCGTTCTGGGGCGCCCCCTGGACCAACGGCCCAACTCCGTCGGTGTTCGCCTTTGGGGTTGGCCCATGCCGTCGTTGATGCCCCGTCCTAGTATGACCGAAGTTCCTGCTCCGAGTCTCGAGATACGTTGGTCTATCCAACCCGTCTGGGTCTTCACGATACGCTGATACTGCTGGCGTTCCCAGGCCGTACGCGGTTGGGGCGGTCTATAAACACAATTATAGAAGATTCGTCTCCCCCTGCTGCAGTTGAGCTGAGATCCCCCGACCATACAATTCGTGGGGTGGTTCGGCCGCGTCGATGAATTGTGCGTATTTCCATTTCCTCCTCCAAATAACTGTACATCCAGCCGACTTGTTACTGCGCACTGTTACTTCCATGCACCCTCCCTCCGCAAACCTGCACCTGCCCCCCCCCCTTCGCTGGTGACGAAGCCCACCCGCATGTGGGGCGCCTGGGGGGGCGTCGGCGCAGGGTGCCCGCCAACCCGACGATATCGAATGTCAGGGCTTCAGAACAGATTCCCCGGAGTCGGTCCGCAGCACAGAGCACAGGGTTGTAGAGGAGTAAGAACAATACTGCAAGCAGGGTGACCACGGCCCGAGCCAACCCCATTATCCGATCGCGGGCGATACACATAGAACGCAGGGGAAGGGCAACTGTCGACCGACGGTCCTGTACCCACCATGATCACCACTTGACCTCGCAGTGGCTTGGAGAGGGATGGGAGGAGGAGGAGGAGAGGGGAGCGAGGAGGCAGGAAGAGGAAGACTAGACTAGAATGTGCACAAGGCCAGTCCATCACCTCATTCAGTCTTCTCCTACGTCGCCCGCCAGGCAGCAATTGACAACGCTTTTGCTGACTCAGGCCGAAGAACTCCTCAGGCGTTCGACATTTCAGGGTGTTTGTTTTACATGTTCTCCTGTTTCGTCTTTCACGCGCAAATGCGTTGCACTTTGTACGCCGCAGTATCAAAATCACACTAACACGCCGATATCCTACTGGCACGGGGAAGGCCAGCATCAATAGAATGTAGTCCCTGACGTGGCTGCCCGAAGACATTCTCTCACAAGAACGCCCGACAGGGGCCCTGCCCCATTGTAACTCTGGACGTGGTGCCAGGACATCGAATTTTACAAATGTCTGCCAATTCGGCCTCGACTCTGGAAGCCGTGTTGGGGCCCTGGGGCTGACAAGAACACACTCGGAATCAAAAGCGACTCCTGGGGAAGGCCGAAGGCCCATGGCCCCGAGACTCGAAAATAACGAATCACCGGAGGCCTGGAAGCCACACCCCAGCGACGTCTGGCGCCCAGTAGAACTCGAGACGGCCAGGCTGTGCTGTACCGTTGGCCCCCCTGCGGGGCCGCTTCTGGCGGACGAACACCCAGGTCCAGGGGGCGGAGCCGACAGCTCCAGGGGGCCGCGCCTGGAATCCGCGGCGCGCCGCGAGGGGGCAGCGAAGAGGGGGGGGGGAGGCCCTTCTCGGGAGGCGGCGGGCTCCTCAGAAGCCCTCCCGCCTTCCGAAGCGCCCCCCCCTGGCTTCGGAGGCGAGGCGAGGCGCCGGCGCCGGCGTGCGCCCCGACGGGGGGACGGCCCTGCAGGGGCGCGGCGAGCGGGCCGGGGCCTGGTCCGCCTCCTCCCCCTCCCTCCTCCTCCTCCCCCTCCCTCCTCCTCCTCCTCCTCCTCCTCCTCCTCCTCCTCCTCCTCCTCTCCTCCTCCTCCTCCTCCTCCTCCTCCTCCTCCTCCTCCCCCTCCCCCTCCCCCCCTCCCCCCTCCGAGCTGGAGGTCGGTGCTGTGGTGAACGACAGGTTTCTCTCCCCGGTGCATCCCCCCGGCCTCGGAGGAGGCCCCGAAGGCCTCCCAGGAGGCCCGAGGCCTCCTGCGCCCTGCGAGAGGGCCCGCCCCCCCGCGCCCTGCCCAACGGGGCCGCGCCGCCGACTCCCGGCCGCAGGCCGGCCGCCCGGGTCCAGCAGTTGCGCCCGGGGCCGCACCAGCACGTCCAGCAGCGTCCGCTCACCTGGGAGGGCCCCGCCCGCGCGCGGGGGGGCAAGCGAGGCTTAAGCTATAGGGGGCCACATGCGAACCCTACCCCTACCCATCAGGACTTCTGAGGGGGAGGGTGGGGCTCACTTCGCACGGGAGCTCCCCCGACGAAGTGAACCCCCCCCCCTCCCCCCCTCCCTCCCTCAGAAATCGTGTGGGGTAGGGGTAGGGTTCGCATGTGGCCCCCTACAAGCGCATCACGCGGGGGCTCGGACCTCCGGCGACGTGGGCCTGTTCGATCCTGGCGCTTCTGCTTCCCGCGGGGCCGTCAAGTGCAGATCGGGGCCCCGAAGCTGCCCCCGGGGAGAGGGGTCGGGAGGGCCGGGGCCGAGGGCTGGAGGGAACGTGTCGAAGGACGTCTGGGGATGCGGTCAGGGACTCTTGCTTAAGCGTGCCGCGGCGGCGGCACCTGCGGCACGCCTGCAAGCGGGCAGCGCGTCGCTCCGCTCCGCGTGGCGGGGGGCGGGAAAAAGATCGGGCGCGTCGACGCTTGGGAGCTGGAGCGTGGATAGCGTGTCGCGCCGAAGCGTGCTGGGCCAGAACCAGCGGCGCGACACGCTAAGCAAACGTTCCTATCCGTAGAAGGCGCCCAGCGACACGCTGAGCAAACGTTCCTGTCCGTAGAAGCCGTCGCCTCCGCCTCCTCCTCCTCCTCCTCCTCCTCCTCCTCCTCCTCCTCCGCCTCCTCCTCCTCCGCCTCCTCCTCCTCCTCATCCGTAGCCATTTTGGCTCCTGCCTGTATCAAACCCCTGGGTCGCCATTTGCCCCCGCGGTGGCTTGGTCACTGGAGGTAAGGGGCGCGAGGTGGCGCGGGCGGCGGCCGCTTCTGGTTGCCGTCGGCGGCGGTCGCGTGCTGAGCGCTCTGCGGCTCGGGCGCATTACGGCCCGCCGACGCCGCGGTCGCCTGCAGCTTAAGTGAAGTGGCAGTGGAGGCGCAGGTGCGCTGCCTTGTCTGCGGCAGTCGAGCTGCTGCTGGGAGGCGACTCTGACCTGGCAGACCGTGTCCTGGCTATCCTGCCAGCACTGAAGGACCTTCTCGCTGGCCGGGATCCTCCACATGAAGATGCTCGGCGTAACGTTGCCCTGCACGCCAAGGCCGACGGGAGCAAGGTCTCCGTGGCGCCGGTTGGGCAACTCCAAGCTGCTCAGCACTGCCCACGGCTAGCTCCTGGCCGACCTGGCGTTGGCATCGTGCCGGTGATGCCATCCAGTGCGATAGCAACGGCGGACCTGGAGCGCTCACTGTTGGCAGCGGTCTTCAAGTTGAACTTGGAGAGCACGTGGTGGGTCAGGCTTCCCAGCTGGGCGAGGAGCCGTTCGTGAGCTACGGTTTCCCGATGTGTTTGGATCGTGGTTTTGCTGCCGATGAGACCGATCTGAGGTGCACGTGCGGCGCGGTTTTCTCCCCAGCTGTGACATGCTGTTCGAGGCTGGGCCGCAGCGGTGCGTCTCTTACGTGCTGGCACTGGGTCGGGGGCCTCCCCCGCGAACCCACACTGTAGGGTCGACGTGTGTTCCGAAGTTCCTGTGGAAGCTTGCCGTTCGGGGGCGGAGGGCGCTGTCGAGCACGCGGAGCTGGTGTGCGGCGCCGCTAGGCCAGGCAGCTTGGGCCTGCCGCAGTTCGTGGACGGTGAGCCGCAGGTGGCGAGGGGCAGGCCGCTGCCGAGGGTCGCTTCTCCCCTGCGACCGGCGGCCTCGCTGATGCCCAGGAAGGCGCCCACGAGGAGGCCCACGGGGAAGGCCAAGCTGGACCAGGCGTCTCTGTCACGGAGCTGGCCCGCGGCGAGCCGAGGGCCCGCAAGGGGGGGGGCTGGGTGGGCGTGGTAGTGCCGCGCCGCTGCTGCTCCTCTCCTTCGTCCGTCGCCGCGCCATTTTGCTCGCGACGCGCCCAAGCGGACGACGCCGGAGGAGGAGGAGGAGGAGGAGGAGGAGGAGGAGGAGGAGGAGGAGGAGGAAGGAGGAGGAGGAGGAGGATGAGGAGGGGAGGGAGGGAGGAGGGGAGGAGGAGGAGGAGGCAGCACCACGGCAAAGCCTGCGCACCGCACCCCAGGCAGGCGAGGCCGCCGCGGCGGCAAGCCCACGGCGGGCCCTGCGCCCGAGGCGGCGGCTGCCCTGGTGCCCGCGGTGCCCTCCCCAAGACGTGAGACCGCGCGTCGGAGCAAACGGCACGGCGTCATCTACCTCCTCCTCCGCCTCCTCCTCCTCCTCCTCCTCCTCCTCCTCCTCCTCCTCCGCCTCCTCCTCCTCCTCCTCCTCCCCTCCCCTCCTCCCCTCCTCCTCCTCCTCCTCCTACCTCGTGGGGGGACTCGTGACGCTTGTCTTCGGGTTGGGGTCTTCTTTCGGAGTTGCTCTGGTACACCCTGCGAAATGCTTTAGAAATCATGGGTTAAGAAATTCATAGTCTCAGAACTTGACTAAAAAAACCCACAATTTCTATTGAAATCTTAGGATTTACATTGAAACGTTAAGAATAATCGAGACTCTGGCCGAAAACTTCGGTTTTCTTAAGCATCGCCTAAGGTGTACCTCGTGGGGGGACTCGCGACGCTTGTCTTTGGGTTGGGGTCTTCTTTCGGAGTTGTTCTGGTACAAGGCGTTGACTCCGTTGACACGTTTGTGCACGATGGTCCCGTGTGCATCGTGGGTTGGACTGCCGAGGACTGCACTGTGGTGGCGCTGGACCACCCTGGCGACCAGTATGACCTCGAGCAGAACGGTGAATGCCTGTCAGAGTGCTTCGAGGACGAGCCGTGTCACGTCCTCTCGGGGACCTGCTCGCTGGAGGAGCTGTAATCGAGTACGTGGGGGCTCGGCGGCCCGTCTCCTGGAGGTGCTGCCGCTGTCCACGGCCTTCGTCTGCTCGGGGCGCCAGCGAGGCAGGCGGAGCCACCTCCTTCTCCCATCTCCTCCTCCTCCTCCTCCTCCTCCTCGTCCTCCTCCTCCTCCTCCTCCTCCTCCTCCTCCTCCTCCTCCTCCGCCTCCGCCTCCTCCTCCATTCCTTCTCCTTATAGATAGCTCCTCCCTGTCGCACCCCGAAGCCAACTGTTAGGGCCGGCCAGGCGCTCTCGCCTTAGCGCCGCGCACATTCCTTTCGGAAATTTGCAAGTTTCACAGATTGAGGGCGGTTCCTTTTCAAAATGTGGCTCTCGCCTTAGCGCCGCGCACATTCGCTTTAAACATTTGCAAGAGTTTCACGGATCGAGGGCGGTTCCTTTTCAAAATGTGGCTCTCGCCTTAGCGCCGCGCACAGTCGTTTTAAACATTTGCAAGATCTTCACGGATTCCTATGATCAACGTATCAGAAATGGTGTTTTGGAAGGAGTCAGGATTATGCGGGTGCAACAATTGTGCTGATTCGCGGTGTTGAAGTCCCAAAAATGGCGCTCTGGCACGATTTCGGATCGTCAAGACGCAGCAGTCAAGTTGATACGTGGCGTTGAAATCCCGAGAACAGTGGTTTGGCATGCTTCCGGATCTTCAAACGGTTGTCTTCCAACGAGGCAGTTCCCTCAATGGAAATGAACCGTTGCGCGGGCCTATGAAGAGGGAGCTTGGAGGGAGGGTGAATTGCAACATCGTTGATGACTCTTGGTTTTACACTAGTCCTCCTCCTCCTCCTCCTCCTCCTCCTCCTCCTCCTCCTCCTCCTCCTCCTCCTCCTCCTCCTCCTCCTGATCAGTGCCGAGCAGGAGTGTCTCATGTGTGATCGGGGCGGCGACTGGCCAGCGGAGTACCAACTACTCCTCCTCCTCCTCCCCCTGCCGAGTCTTGCCGTCGACCCTCGCAGCTCGAGGAGGGAAGGCTTTCGGGCGTTCTTGGCCCTCGTCGAGCCTCTGGAGGCCTCCAAAGGGGGAGCTCTGAGCCTGCATACAGGACCACTCCGCTGTGCCTCCCAGGAGCCCACGACAGCGGTTGTAGTTTCGCAGTTCGCAGCCCCCAGGGGGGGGCAGAGACGAGGATGAGGTGGCGCCTTATGGTACCAGTGGCAACCAGCGTGTGGAGAACAGTCCCTGGCGGCGGAGGTAAAACCAGCAGCACGCAGGAGATTTCGTAACCACCCCTTTCCCAATCCCCACTTTTTTGGCATGAAGATGAGGGGTGCTGAGGGAAATGGGTCCCAGACCCCAGGGGCTTCCCTGGGACCAGCTCTTCATCCTGAGTTGTCTTTTGTCGGCCCCAGGGCCCGCGCAGGACCCCAGAAGCCCTGAAACGCCCGCTTCTCTCAGGGCTCAGACATTATCCGATATAAGTTGCTCAATCCCCAGCCCCAGAGGTCCCGACCCCTCAGCGAGGGTGGTTTTCCCTCCCAGATGAATATATATATATATATATATATATTATGGTCCCGGGGCCGGGAAACGGCCCACCCAGGATCAAGTCAAGGATCAAAGTCAAAAACCGTAGTAGTCTGGAGACCCGTTTGCTTATCATAGCGAACCTCCCTTAGACAGCAACTCACGGAAGCTGTCCGTCGCCCCCATGGTGCCCAACAGCGCGCCCAATCGCGCACATAGCGGACATAACGCATCTCCCTCACACGGCGCTACTGGGCACTAATGGTTGCTATTGGGCGCTTTTTGAACGCTATTCGGCGCTACTGGGCGCTACTGGGCGATATTGGTCGCTATTTGAACGCTAGTTGAACACTACTGGGCGCCACTGGACGCTGTTTGGCGCCATTGAGCGCTGTTGGGCGCTATTCCCCAACATACACTCGATCCAAGACGAGCGGAAGCTTCCGTGATCGAATGCCTAATGAGGGGGCTTTCCATGGCAACACTGAGCCTCGAGCAAAGCAGGCTCCCCAACACTGACCCCGCGTACGGCCCAGATGTTACATATGCTTGTTCCCCCATGAAGCACGCGTCCCTGCGGACCATGGTGCCCACGAGACGCACCGAGCTAATCCCAGAGTCACGCCAGGACCACCCTGCGGCAGCCGAGCACACGAAAACTCCTCGTGTGCAGCGTCCGACCCCACGTCCGACCCGTCCGTCGGGCCAGAGGTACGGCCGGCCGAGCGCCAGACCGAGGCCCGTGCGAGGCGTCTGAGCCCGCCGCCCTCGTCCACGACCGACACCCTCGCCAGGTGCCTGGGGTCATAGCCGTTGACCGCGTCCTCGCGGGGCGCAGAGCGACGACGGCGACGACGCTGACGACGCTGACGACGACGCTGACGATGACGCTGACGACGACGACCAAGACGACGACGACGACGACGACGACACGGACGGACGGACGGACGGACGGACGGACGGACGGACGGACGACGGCGACGACGGTGGCGACGACGACGACGACGACGACGACGACGCCGACGCCGACGCCGATGACGGCGGCGGCAGCGACGGTGGCGGCGGCGGCGGCAACGGCGGTGGACGAAGGCGACGTGCGCACCTTGCGCGGCTGGAGCATGCAGCACACATGGCGCACGTCGAGCACGTGGCGCATCTGGCGCGCCAGGCGTGCCTGGCAAGCTTGGGGCCCCAGGGGTGCCTGGCGCACCTGGCGCGCGTGGCGCACCTCGCCCCAGCGTCGTGCACATGGGGTCTGTTTTGGTTCCCAGTAGCTGCCCATCCATAGACGACCGCTGAACATGGTGAGGCTCGTGTGCTACTGGCGGGCAGGGTGTCTTGATCCCTCCCCCATACCCACTTCCTGGACCTAAGGGACCGCGACCGATTGGAACGTCCTGGATGGCCCCGACGAAAGGCAAAAATAAACGATTATCCTAAAGGACCCCCCTTAGTTGACAGAAACCCTCCAAGATGGCCCCAAAGCGGCCCCCAAGGCTCCCAGGAGTGCCGCAAGGTGGCCCCAATAGACGCCCAGGAGGTCCCAAGATGCCCCCAAGAGATCCCCATCCTCCTCCTCAGCCTCCTCCTCCTCCTCCTCCTCCTCCTCCTCCTCCTCCTCCTCCTCCTCCTCCTCCTCCTCCTCCACCACAGTGTGCATACCAGCGAATTCCTCGTCCTCCTGCTGCCTTCTCCTGATCCAGCTGCGCCTCTATCTGATCTTGCTCTGAGGCCGTCGGGCCCATCCTCCTCCCTGTCCACGGAGCCGATATGTCCTGCTCTGGCCCCCTCACTTCGCGTGGGGCCTTCTTCCCCTCCCCCCTCCCCACATCATCCATATTTTCTTCTCCCGCCCTACTCCTTCCCGCCCTCTCCTCCACTCTCCTCTCCTCCTCTCCTCCTCTCGTTCTCTTCTTTCCTTCCTCTCCTTCCCTCTCCCTCCCTCCCTATTCCTCCCTCCCTCCTCTCCTCTCGTCTTCCCTCATCCCCTCCCCTTCGCCCTCCGTCCCTCTCATACCCTATCCTTCCATCCCTTCATCCTTCCCTCCCTGTCCTCCCCTCTCCTCCCCTCTCCCGCACCCCCCCCGTCCCCCCCCCCAACCATCCCCCGTCCCGCCCCTCGTTCTGTGCTCGTGGCCGCTCTTGCCGGGTAGTCGATTGCTCCAATGATTCGTTCATCTGCTTTTGCCAGACCTGCAGGTGCTGGACGTCTGGGCTGCGTCTGGCTAACTTATGTCAAGCATGCGGCGGGCCGCCGCTACACCTGGAAGGCAAGCCCCGAACATCCTACTCGCAGCTTCGCCTGTGCCGAGGCCTCCCCCTGAAGACACCTCCGGCGGCTCTACTCATAAGCTCGTTACGTAACCGCCCTGTGCGGCGAGTATTGCGAAGCGCGGCCCTCTCTGTGCACGGCGGAAGCAATCACCGTGACCACGTAAGACCTGGAAATGCGGGTTGAGAGCTAAGCGGTCGCAAGCATCGCGCCCGCGAAGCTTGAATTTTGGCCAGGTTCTCTCGCGGCGGCACAGCGATGTGTGGCCTCGCATGTGCCGAGGCCTCCACGCGACGAAACCTCGGGTGACTCTCGACTCTCAAGCTCGTTGGCCGCCTTGCGCGGCGACATTTGCGCAGCGTGGCCCTGTCTCTGCGCGGCGGTAGCCATCAACGCGACCACGTAAGAGGGACAATTCGGGTTGCGATCTGCACAGTCGCAGCCTCGCGCCCGCGAAGCGTGACTTTTGGCCAGGTTCTCTCGCGGCAGCACCGCGAGTTGTGGCTTCGCACGTGCCAAGACCTCCACCCGACGAGGCCTCGGGCGACTCTCCTCTCGAGCTCGTTGGCCGCCGTGTGAGGCGAGGACTGCGCGGCGTGATCCTGTCGTCTCTGCGCGTCGTGCCCAGATGGCCGGCCGAGGGTCCCCTTGGCGAGCCCGGTAGGCTCGAGCTCGGCTGCGCTTCACCCGCTATCGGATTCACCCGCGGCCTGCCCTCGCAGGTGCAGGAGCACCCCTCTTTCGCGCTGCCTCTTTCCGAGTTCACTCAGAGGCAGTGGTGCGCCCTGAAAAAACTCGCCTCTCATATCCCTCCCCTCCACCCACCATCCCTCCCCCCACCCCTTGCCTCACCCCCCTCCCGCCCACCCTCCCGCCAGCCCCATCCCTCCCTCCCCTCCCCAGACACCAGACGTCGTGATGTTCTGCGACGTGGCTCCCCAGAGGTCAGGACCCCTTCCCAGGGACCGGACCTGCGCTTGACCTCCGGAACGCACCAGGGGCGGCGCCAGGGGCGGCGCTGGAGGGGCCCAGCGCAGATCCAGAAAAGTCTGCGCGGAGCGCCAAAAGTCCATGTTTACGGCGTTTCTTCGTCGAAATCAAGGCCCCCCTCACCCGCCTCCTCCTCCTCCTCCTCCTCCTCCTCCTCCTCCTCCTCCTCCTCCTCCTCCTCCTCCTCCTCCTCCTCCTCCTCCTCCTCCTCCTCCTCCTCCTCCTCCTCCTCCTCCTCCTCCTCCTCCTCCTCCTCCTCCTCCTCCTCCTCCTCCTCCCTCCTCCTCCTCCTCCTCCTCCTCCCCCTCCCCGTCCCCCTCCCCCGCCTCCCACCTCTCCCCCCGTCGCCCTCCCCTGCCCCCTGGGGCACGCGCGGCCGCCCTGCCCACCCCGCCGGGGGGCCGAGGGCCGGCCGGCGTCGCGTCCCCGGCGTAGACGAGCGAGACGGAGACCGCCAGCACCGCAGCCTTGTCCTTTTTCGCGGGCGGGCGAGCAAGGAGGAGGCGCGGAAGAGGAAGAAGGAGCCCAGACATCCAACGTCTTGAAAAAAACAATACGTTCTTGTTCATCGCAGCGTACGGCCTCTGGGGGCCCTCGCCAGGCCCCAGGACCGTGAAAACAAACTCGGCATGCAAATGCGGCCCAAGGAAGGGGTCGGGACTTCTGGGGACCCAGGAACCCGCAAAGAAAAAAAAGACATCAAAACTCTAGAGAGAAGAACGGCGGAAAAGGAAGGAGAAGGAAGGAAGAGGAAGGAGGATGCGAATACGCCGAGGGGGCGGAGGAGGGGAGCAAGGCGCCGGCAGAGAAACGCGCGTCGAACGCCGCCCGAGCGCACTCCGCACGCAGCGTGTCCTCCACACGGTGGCCCCTCGGTGGAGTATCCGCAGGTCCTCTCTGGAGTCCTCTGCGCTGGGGATCGCGGTGCTCCCTGGAGGTGGGCAGAGCCCCACTCAGCCAAACGCCTGGCGTGCACCGCCGAACGACCCGTTGCCCGAGGCACCTTGCGGACACGGCCAGCGACCTCGCAAAAAAAGATGCAAGAGCTTCCGGGCAGGCGGCGCAGAGGCGTCGAGCAGAGGCGTCGAGGCGATATCGACGGCCATCGATCGGGCGCCCGAGGAGCCCTCCAGAGAGAACGGCCCGTGGCCGGACCGGGCGGGCGCAGGGCCAGGACATCCCACTCGAGAACCGAAGGAGGGCAACTCGCGAATCGGCCTGGCAGGGTGGGGGTCCTCCTCCTCCTCCTCCTCCTCCACCTCCGCCTCCGCCTCTGCCGCCGCCTCCGCCTCCTCCTCCTCCTCCTCCTCCTCCTCCTCCTCCTCCTCCTCCTCCTCCCTCCTCCGCCTCCTCCTCCTCCTCCTCCTCCTCCTCCTCTCCTCCTCCTCCTCCTCCTCCTCCTCCTCCTCCTCCTCCTCCTCCTCCTCTCCTCCTCCTCCTCCTCCTCCTCCTCCTCCTCCTCCTCCTCCTCCTCCTCCTCCCCCTCCTCCTCGCCTCCTCCTCATCATCATCTTCCACGGCCTCCGTCTCCGCCCACTTCGTCGCCGACGTCGTGGTCCTCTTCAGGGTCGGCGGCACTGGCCGTCAGGGCCTTTCAATCGGTCCCATCCGCACTGGCGCGGCGTTGGCCCCACTGGCCGACTCGCCCCCCTTGCATGGGGACGTCGGATATAGGCTATATTCCCTCCGGGATTCGAGGGGCCCGTCCCCAATTGGGAGGGTGGGGGGGTGGGGCTGAGATGCCATGATAGCATGGCCTGGTGGGGATGGGGATAGGGGATAGGTTGAAGGATACGAACTCTATCAACCTCCGATCTTCAAGAAGCCCAGGAAGCCGAAGGACTCCTGAGGCTGGCAGCGCGACCTTCCTGGTGACGCCTAGGGAGCGCGGCGGGGAGCCCGTGCTTCCAGCATGGGCTGAGGCGGTGTCAGGGCCCGTCCTGGGGCCCTTCTGGGCGCCTCTCGGGCCTTTTACGAGGCCCTGGGGGCCAGCCCGGGAGGCCGAACCGTTCTGATAAAGCCTGCGCGACCCCAATCAGCGGAGGGCTTCGGCTTCCTGTTGAGTGGGCGCATTGCGTGGCACCGCTTGGCGGGTTGCTTGGCACTGCGCTGCAGATTACTCGGCAGTGATTGGCATTGCGTGTCAGTGCGTGGCATTGCTTGGCATTGGTTGGCATCGCGTGGCGCTGCTTGGCATCAAGTGGCAGTGCGTGGCATTGCGTGGCATTGCTTGGCACTGACTGACGTTGCCTGGCATTGCATGGCATTTCTTGGCATTGGCAGGCGAGGCCGCAACGAACCAAGACCAACAAACCAAGGAACAACGACCAAGGAACCCAGGAACAAAGAAACTGGAACAAATGAATAAAGGCATCAAAACCAAGGAACCGAAGAACCAAGGAACCGAGACCGACGAACCAAGGAATCAAGACTAACAAACCAAGGCACCAAGGAACCAAGGAACCAAGGAACCAAGGAACCAAAGAACCAAGGAACCAAGCCAAAGAAACCGAAGAACCAAGACCACAAACCCGAAGAAGGCAGCAAGGAACCACGACAAAGAAAACAAGACCGAGGAATTCCGAGGATCGCCACTTGGCACAGTAACAAGCGAACAATCCAGAAACAAAACCTAGGAACCCCGAGGAAGGTAGGCCGGCCAGGCCTCCCATCCACAGGTTCTTCAAAAACAACGAAGAACCATTTAGGCAAAGCCTGCGTACTGGGGGACAAAAGAAGGGCTGCAGGAGCTGCAGTTCACGGAACCGCCGAGAGAAAGCTTCCTATGGCATGGGCGCATCACGCGCCATGGCTTGGAATATTGCTTGGCATTGCGTAGCATTGTTTGACATTGCTCGGAATTGCCCGGACCAAGACCAAGGAACCAAGGAACCCAGGAACCAAGACCAGGGAACCAGGGAACCAAGGAACCAAGGAACGTCCTCCTCCTCCTCCTCCTCCTCCTCCTCCTCCTCCTCCTCCTCCTCCTCCTCCTCCTCCTCCTCCCCGACCCCGAAAGCCTTCCCGGCGGCGCCCGGGTCCTGCTCCTGGCCGGCCTGGGCGCACGCGTAGCCGGGCTGGGGCTGCACTGGGCGGTAGTCGGGGTGGCGCTGCGTCCTCCGAGGAAGAAAAACCAGCGCAAACGTAAACCTTCGGAGGTCCCCCAGAGGCCCCAAACTTCTTCCCCAGGGGCCCCCGAGAGCCTTCCGAAGAGACGCCAAGAAGCATCCCTGAGGATTCTGGCCCACGTCAGCGTCGTCGTCGTCGCCGCGGCCGTCGTCGTCGTCGTCTCCCTTCAGGGTCGGCGGCACCGGCCGTAAGGCCTTCGCAATGAGCATAAACATAAACCTTCGGAGGTCTGCGCGGATATCTTGGATCAGCGCTGAGCCCCCTCCCTGGCGCGCCGATCTCAGAAATCCGCGCGGACCGCCGAAAGTTTATGTTTATGTTTTTTTCTCCTTCGAGTCCTACTCATCAGCCACGCCCACTCCATGGGCCAGCCCAGCACCTTTCAGCGTGGAAGGGAACAGGTCCTGAGGGGAACGCGTCCTGGAGCCTTCCCCAAAATCGGCTCTTCATCCTAAGTCGTTTGCTGACGCTTCTGGAGCCCATGGTGGGCTCCGAGAGCCCGCACACGGCGAAAAGCCTTGGAACCCGGTTCCCTCAGGACCCGCTCGCCTCCTATCCGAGATCCACAGACCTCACGACCCGCCTGAAGAACCCGATCGAAGAACCTCAGGAACGGAGATCCGTAAGGACCTCGAGAAGTCTGCGGTTATGCCTTTTATCTTCTTCGAGCTCCATTCCCAGACATGCGTTGTCCTGATGCTTTCTCAACCATCCTATGGTGTTGGGTTCTCGTTTTGAAGAGAAAGCGCCACGCATCCTCCTCCCCTCCCCTCCTCCTCCACCACTCCTCCCATCCCTGCCTCTGCTCTCCGCATGTCCTGTCCCCGTCACTATCATCACCATTAGCGTAATCCTCCTCCGAACATCATCATCATCATCATCATCATCATCATCATCAGCAGCAGCAGCAGCAGCATCATCAGCATCCGCCTGGAGTTGACCTCGCGGGCCCACCATGTGCTGGCCCTGCTGGCGCGCCCGCCGACATTAGCATCCCGCCCATGCAGTTGCAGTATACCCGAAAGATGGCCAGCCACGCCACCGCGGAGTCCCAGGTGACGAAGCACCAGGCCGAGGACGTCGAGGACAGGCGCTCGCGCATCGCAGCGCTCGAGGCATCGCGGCTGCGGCGCTATTTCGAGGCCTTTCAGCACGACCGGTTCGAGAGCAAGCGCTTCACCGAGCTTGACAAATTCTTCATGCCCTACGCGTCATGCACGGAGCTCGGCAGACCGGCTTTCGAGGCGTTCCACGCCGCCCTCTGCGAGACCAAGCTCTCCTTCTCCGACGCGGTGATGCGAAGCGCTGTCCCAATCAGCATCGCGCACGGCCTCTGGGCTGGCGTCCGCAACCACGAGAACTTCGTCCAGACCATTATGCTTGCGGACAGCGTGGCGCACGTCATCGAACACGCCTGGACCGCCACGGCAGATCATCCGTACTGGAACGCCTTGGACAACATGCTTTCCATCCAGTGGATTACGCTGACTTTCATCGAGCTGCGGCGCCCAGGCCACTGCGAAGAATTCATGGTTGGAGCTGTGCTGAGGCGCCTCTTCAGACTGTGCTTCAGAGTGCACTTGCGAGTTTCTTTCAGTCTTCGCAAGGATCACGCTGCTGCTACTCGCTTGTGCCTCAGAGTACGTTTCAGTCTGTGCTTCAGTATATGGTTTCAGCGTATGTTCCCCAACCTGTGCTCCCCGAGGAGGCTGTGCAGTTACTGTCACCTTCTTGAGGG